TTCATAATTATGAATTGTTTAAAATGAACTCTAATGAATCTATTTCAAGTATGTTTACTAGATTTACTGAAATTGTAAACTCTTTGAAATCTCTTGGCAAAACTTATACTAACAGTTAGTTGGTAAGAAAAATTCTTAGGTGTTTACCAAAGAATTGGGAAGCAAAGGTCACGGCCATTATAGAAGCCAAAAATCTATTCACACTTAGATTGGATGAGCTTATGGGTTCCCTTATGACTCATGAGATCACCATGAAAGGACATGAGGATGTTGAAAACAAAAAGAAAAGTGGAATTGCATTCAAACCCTCATCAAATGAAGAAGAACATGAAAACTTCAGTGAGGATGAAAGCTATGTCATGTTTAGTAGAAATCTCAAAAAGCACTTCAAGAAAAACAATTATGGAGGAAGAAGACCTTTCAAGAAAGAGTACAACAAAAATAACAAGAAAGAGCCTATAATTTGCTATGAGTGCAAAAATCCTAGACATATGAAGATGGATTGTCCAAAATTGAAGAATCATGAAAAAGACTACAAAAGAAACAAAAAGGCCATGGTAGCAGCTTGGAGAGAAAGTGAAGATAAAAGCTCAAGTGATGAAATTGAAAATGAAGTAGCCAACTTATGTCTTATGGCTCTTGAAGATGAAGACTCTACTCAAGATGAGGTAACTACTCTTTATGAAGAACTTGAAAGTGCATTCCATGAACTACAAGATGAATTTAGAAAAGTTTGTGCCAAAAATAATGTGTTGAAGAAATCTGTTGCATCTTTATCTATTAATCTAGAAGAATTAAAGAAAAAAAAAATTGTTTTGAAAAATGATTTTGACACCATCTCCAATGAGAAAATTGCTTTACAAAACAATATTGATGACTTAACAAAAACACTTGAAAATTTTGTAAAAGGTAGAGACAATCTTAACATGCTTCTTGGAAATCAAAGATGTGTTTTCAATAAAGAGGGCATTAGATATGACCCTATTAAAAAACAAAAAAATCTCAATACAATTTTTGAAAAGGCACCTCTCATGACTCACCCTCATATTACTTGTCATTATTGTAGAAAGAAAGGCCATTATATATCTTCTTGTCCATTAGAAAATAATATAAACTTGGGAATTAAAAAGATTTGGATTGTTAAGGGATCTAACAAAACTAACCAAGAATGACCCAAGAAACTATGGGTACCAAAACCAACACTTGATTGTCATCTTGTAGGTTTGTTTTAAGTCCACAACTAAAGAAGGGAAATGGTACCTTGATAGTGGATGTTCCAGACACATGACCGGAGATAAATCATTCTTTACTAAAATATCATCGAAAGATGGAGGATTTGTTACTTTTGGAGACAACAAGAAAGGAAAAATCATCAGTATTGGTAACATTGGTATTTCTCCTAACCCTTCTATTGAAAATGTTTTACACGTTGATGGACTTAAGCATAACTTACTTAGTATTAGTCAATTATGTGATAAAGGTAATCGAGTTATTTTTGATAAATCATATTGCACAATTGAAAGCACAAATGATCATAAAGCTTTATTCGTTGGTAATCACTATGATAATGTTTATGTTTTTCATCTTAATGATTTCTATGCTAGTAATGTTAAATGTTTATATGTTAATAATGAAAATAGTTGGTTATAGCATAGAAGACTTAGTCATACTCATATGGATTTAATTGCTAAACTTTTGAGAAAGGATTTGGTCATTGGACTTCCAAAAATTAAATTTGAAAAAGATCGTCTTTGTAGTGCTTGTCAACAAGGAAAACAAACTAAAACATCATTTAAATCAAAATCTCATATTTCCACAACTAGACCTTTACAACTATTGCATATGCATCTATTTGGTCCCTCAAGGACATCTAGTCTAGGTGGTAAACATTATTGTCTTGTTATTGTTAATGATTATTTAAGATTTACATGGGTTATGTTTTTAGCACACAAAGATGAAACATTTTCTTCCTTCACAAAACTTTGTCACAAAATTCAAAGTGATAAAGGTTTTCTTATTACTAATATTCGAACCGACCATGGTAGAGAACTTGAAAATGAGAAATTTGAATTGTTTTGTGATGAGCATGGTATTGGACATAATTTTTCAGCACCTAGAACCCCTCAACAAAATGGTGTAGTAGAAAGGAAGAATAGAACTTTAGAAGAGA